CGGCCGCCTGCATATTTCAATACAAGCATTTTCACGACGCGTCTTTAATCATTTATTTACATATTAACTTATAATACTCAAAATTAAAAGTGGTTTTTTATATTCCAAAAGCTTAGATATTTTCCTACAATCTGATACCAATATCCTATTGAAATAATACATATTGAACTATTAAAGATAAAAAACATTTAATGTATTTATTTTTTATATATCTTTTCGTTTATTAGTATTTTACAATATTTCACTAGCCGGTCATGTTAAATAATATCCACCGCTTTCCAATGTTTTGACTGCCTCCTTATCTTATTTATTATTATTTTATAATATATTTTAGTTTCCCTGTCTGTACAGTGTACACTAATACAATTTTTTTAAATATATTTTTTCGTTCATTATTAGACATCACTACATCAGTTGTGTATCTACTTCGTATGTGACCCGTATTCGACAGCAAAAAGTTACTCTGTAGTTCCTTTTTTGTTTTTGTTTTTATAATTCTTATTAAACTTAGAATGTTGTGTTCGGTTTTCGGTTGTGCGTGTTAAAGCCACAAAGAAACAAATAAAAACGTCCACTTTTACAGGTTTCCAAAGCGCGAAAAATCACCACAAAGATACAAGGTATGGGTTAATTTTTTTAAACGTAAAAATTTTATACACTGGGAAAAAATAATAGAATTTGTTCATCCCATTTTAAAAATAATGATTTCGATGAGTCTGATGTATTACGTAAGCAACTTATGCCAGACACAAAAGTAATAATCAGATTAAAATCTAATGTATTTCCTACCATTTACAAAACAAAATCTGAGGACCCATTTTTTACTTTACCATCTACAAGTAGACGTGAAAGACAGAATAGAAAAAGAGAAAATCAATTCACGCTAACTTCATTAAAATCAAGCACACCAATAAAAAAATCTAATGATGAAATAAACTTTTTGGAAACGCAAAATGAACATTCTTTTGACATAAGTCACAATTCTATAGATTTTATTCGAGAATATAAAGATAATGTTAACGATATTGGTGTCCAATGTGATTTAGGCAGTAAAAGTGTTGCTCAGTATTTAATAAAGATTAATAATGAATTATCATTTGAATTATGCGAAGATATTAGTGAAGAGGAAAGTGATGAAAACGATATCGATGCATGTTTTGACAATAATGATTTAATTTCAAAATCAAACATTGACAACGATGCTTGTTTTATAATATTTTGGGAAAACATTTTTGTTTGTTTGAATACTGTCAAGAATGTTAAACAAGAAATATATCTATGAAACATTATGTTCAAGGTACATTTTTGTCTATTACTACAGTTTGTGAAGAGGGTCACACTGTTCAATGGACTTCTCAAAAATAGGCTGGAAAACACCCAGAAGGAAATATTGTTATTGGAGCTGCTTTTCAGGAATTCTATTTGCTCAAATGTCAGTTTTTTGTCGATCAATAAATGTAGCTTTTTTTCGCGTACAACATACGACTTTATTACTAATTTACACACAGGTCCTGTAATTAATGATATGTGGCGTGAACACCGAAAAAACAATTTAAATGAAATGAAAAATTCTGAAAAAAATATATGGTTGGCCGGAGATGGGCAATTTGATTCCCCGGGTTTCTGCGCAAAATATTGCACTTACTCAGTAATGGACTTGCACAGCAGTAAAATTATTGATTTCAATTTAGTTCAAAAAAGTATGGGTTTTGGGGATTTGGAACGAAAAGCTTGCGAATAGTTATTCAATAAATTAATTGAAGATGAAAATTGTAATATTGAACTATTTCTAACGGATCGTCATAAAGGTATTCGATATTTTTTACGTACAAAATATCCTCAAATTTAACACAAATTTGATGTGTGGCATTTGTCTAAGAGTTTGTCAAAAAGATTGAAAGGACTTGACAAAAAATATCCAGATGCATATTTAAGGAAAACGAGCATAAATAATCATTTATGATGTTCGTCTCAAATTTATAACGGTAACGGATCATTACTTGTCGAAAAATTCACTTCAATTCTTAAACACATTAGTAATATACACGAATGGGAAGATAATGGTAAGACAAAAAAATGTGAACACGAACGACGACTTAAAAAATAAGCTTTGGATACATCCTAATAGTAAGTCTTACTTTGCTTTAAAAAAAATTATTATGGTTAAAGATTTGTTAAAAGATTTACAATATGCAAAACATTTTGTACATACTGGTCGCTTGGAGTCCTACCATAACGTTCGCTTGAAATATATGCCCAAAAGAATACACCTTAAGTTTAATGGAATGTATTTACGTTCGATAATTGCCATTCTCGATCACAACTATAATGTAAACAAAACACTTGTAGGAGATAAGTTGGTTTTTTCAAATTCAATCAGCCGTTATACATTAAAAAATCTTTACAAAAATCCATCAAACAATTGGCGACATATTATAATTGAAAATATTAAAATTAATGCAAGAAAAGGTAATAATTTAAATACAGAAACAAGTACATTCGATGACAATTTGCAAATCCCAACCAATATAGTTTCAATACCAAAACCAAATGTTGATGAAATGAGATTGAAAAAGTATTCAAGATTTTAAAAATAAATAATTGTTATGAAAAATAAATTACTCATAATTTTGAACTTCTTATTTAAAACATTCGGTAAACGTATGGATATAGAATAATTTGGTTCAAATCTATCAATGTCATTAATATTTGGCTCAAAACTATATGGTTTTAAAGATATTTTATAACCCAGTACGTTTGACGTCAGATTATGAATGCGAAGATACAGTGTATTATATGTAACAAATTGTAATACTATTGATTACAGATAACAAAATAAAACGAATTTAGTCAAAACGTAGTCTGCAGTGGTATTTAGGAAAACCCATAAACTGTGTTTGTAATTTGTATTGTTATTAATAGTGTTGGTATAAAAACAAATAAAAAAATGTATACATTATGGATAAAATAAACGTTTTCTATATTTAATATTTATTATTTCAAGAAGATGTTAGTATCAAGTTATAGGAAAATATCTAAGCTTTTGGAATATGAAAACCGCTTTTAATTTTGAGTATTATAAGTTTGTAGCGCCGTGTGCACTTACTGGTGCAGTTTGCGACACGACTCGCGAGGTGTATGGGAACTAAGCTATAATACCGGAAGGTTATAAATATATAAATATTTGTTATATTATATCAAAAGAAACATTCTCACATACCTAACAAAGACGTCTCTTTGGGTAGTGGTACAATATCAAAAAAATAATAATAACAGTAATAATAATGAAATTAACCCACTAATAATTTAAACAATGTTAGGATTATTTAGAAATAATAATATAATAATATTGTTAACAATACCGCGGATACTCAGTTGTGGTAGAGTATGGTGACAAAACCGGATTGTTCTATATATATCTTCACAAATGTCGATTTAGACGGCGGCGACGACGGTCGTTGAACTCCGCCCAAGTTAATAAAATATAATAATTATTATAATAATTATAATACTCAAAATGTCGGACGCACCCCGTATTTGCGTAACGTATTGCACTATTACTGTAATTATCACACCCGAGAGAACCGTGTAACACATACCCTGAACGCGGTGTTGTAAAAACGGGTGCGCACACCGATACGCCGACAAAGGTACCGGACGACGGCGGAGAGAAAACTTATAAGCTCGGCGGTGACAAAAGTCGTCGGAACCGATGCTGGCGATTCCGGCCGATATCCGCGCAAGCGCACCCGAGCAAATGTCACGGCGCCAAATCTTATGTTTAAACATAGTTAATATATAAATAAATGAATAAAGACGCGTCGTGAAAATGCATGTATTGAAATAGGCGGACGGCCGACCGATGGAACCTGTGACGTCACACGTCACTATAAAACGACGATAACGATCGAATGGAGTGACGGATAATATTTTTAATGAAACGCAATTTTTAATTACACCAAATACTAACGATTTAGCTTTTATTTATTTTTTCCTAGGATAGTCCTTTAATAATCAACTATAATAAAACATTTTATAATTATTAGAAAAAATCTTAATATATATATATATATTTAAATTTTAGAACGTGTTAACATGATACACTAATCAAAGTTTATACTAAATATAAATTAAAATTTTCTTATAATTATGAAATGTTTTATTATATTTGATTATTAATAAACATTATTATAAATAAGTAAAAGAATATTAAAATAAACTAAAGAAGTTATTAACTTATTTTTTGTTAGTCTAATTTTAATACAATTATTTTAATCATTCATATTCATACTAATAAGTACTTACATTTTTATTTGTAGAGAGATTTTGAAAATGTTTAGCTTCTAAAAGTACTTAATGTCTATAAAAATATTTATACGTTAATTTAAGTAAAATTTTATTTTATTAAATAATACAACTTTTTAAAGTAAATTACGTAAGCACGTGCTCTTTACGTGTCTAGAATAGAGCTCTCTATTTCACGTGTACACGCGTTCACGTATTCACGTGAAATTAACATCCGAATATATAAAACCGTGTATTTAAAAAATCCGTGTACACGTGTAATTATTCACGTGTACACGAATATTCACGTATTCACGTATACATGTAATCACGTATCTTAGTGTTCTAATACATACGTACTTTATTATTAGCCATGCAATTTACTTATAAAGATATACAAAATCTAGAGACAATTTAACAAAAGCATTTTGTATATTTATAACAACGATTTTCAAACAAACTAAAAACAAAAATAATGTAGAATGATTAATTAAATTAAACATGCAAATAAGAATGATTTCAAACTTGAATAATTCAATGGATTTCTTAATTGTTACAAAATGATTAGATTTATCACAAGATTAAGGATTAATTATAATAGTATATATTGATAAATTATAGAAAATTTATTCATAATAATGACGAAACTTTTATGAATATAAAAAATAACAATTTATAAATAATTAAGTATGACGATAATATAAATAATAATAATATTATGGTATTAAATTTCGATTTTGGTATAAGAAAACCAATAAATTAACATTTTTTGTTAATAATGATGTTCTTTTTGAATTTACCACGTTACCAGCTGTGGAAAAACATCGTTCGGAACTCACTGATGTGGCGGGTATTGATAAATATTTTTTTGCCAGTATTCCGATTCCTGGATATTTATCTTCTCTAGATTTCCACCAATCAAATGGATTCAAATCGAACTTTAATTGAGGTTCAGCTAAATAATTTTGAAACTCGGTCGTCAAATCGTTGACTTCGGTGACATCATCACCGAAGATGAACTCGAGTGCACTTTTATGAAGTGATGGTTGGCGTCGTGTATTTACATTATGTGCATCAATTTCAGTATTATTTAATAAATTGATAACGGATGATCGAATGCTTTTTCGTGCAATTATGGGTTCATGATCCAAATTTTTATATCTTGGATCCAAGAATGACGCGATTTGTCGAGCAGAAACTCTGCTTTCTGAATCCCACTCAAGATTAAACCGTTTTTTAATATCAGAAATAAACAATAACATTAAATAAATCAATTAAATAAACATTAATTAATCACGTTAATTTATCTGTTACAAATGTATAATCTTAGTGCCCAATAATAGGATGCTAAATTGGATGATATTTTAAGCTCAATAAACGAATTGAAGACAACTCAGAATAAATGGTTAATGCACTAATGAGCTAAGTAAAACACTAAAATCATTGTACAAAAATTAGATGACCTTAACTCCAAATTGATAATCTTGAAGCAAACTCTCAGGTTAGAAGCCGGAAACGCAATTAAATAGTCGTTTAGACACTCGAACAGATTATGTTTCGTTTAAGCAAAACAAGTTCTGGCTTATCAATAGAAATATTAACAGATTATATGACCTACAATCTAGAGCAATAATATAATTGTTTTAATTTACCGGAACTTAATTCTAGAAAATTCTGAAAACTTATCAGATATGTCACATGTAAAAATTTATTTAGTGATTCTGGTTTAAATCTTCAAATACTAAAGCACATCGTGGCAAACCTATAATCTGCTCGTCTCTTAAAGTTACCACTTCCAAATGCCAGTGACATACTTTTCGGTCTTACTCTCAATCTAAACTCCACGATCACGAAAATGGCCAGACACTGTTTCTCTTCAAGTTCAGCTAAACAGCATGAATTCATGTCAAATCTATTGAAAACGAAAAGAAGAAATGATGATAATATAATTATAAAATATAAAGGTATTCCAACTATATTTATTCAAAACAATAAAACCCTCCATTTTACGTTAGATATTTTACCAAAATGTTCGGGGTTTAAATCTAAAATAAACTCTTAAATGTCAAATCCTTACTCTAATTTGATATATTCGCGTTTACTGAGCGGCTTTCAAAATAATGGTCCTCTGAATTGGGTTTAAAATTATAATGTTTACAGATGTGACCGTAATACTAATACTAGTAGCCTCTCTAGGAGGTGGTGTTCTTATTTCCGTCGATACATTATATTCAGAGTTGTTAAATACATCCTCTTGTCCAAGAAATTTTAATTGTTTAATAAATTAGATAAGAGAAGATATGTATTGTTAGTTCTGTGTATTTCTATCAGCTCATCAGTAGATTTGTATACTTCATATTATTTTGATATCATGTATGTATATTTAAATAGTTAAATGTAATTTTATTATTAGGTGATTTTAATTTACCCTCGGCAGCCTTTTCTAATGCAAAATCTTTTCTTTAACAATTTTATCCTTTCTTAATTTTAAGCAAATTTAGTGTTTAAATAAAAATAATGTTTTACTCGATTATGTCATAACAAACTCAGACACCTGTCATGTTTCTTAAATACTTTACCTATTGTTATGTCGATTTATCACCCCCTCTCATTATAACCATTCATTCCCTTACCTTCATATAAATAATCCTAGAAGGTATCGTGAATACTATATAATTGGAACAAAGCTAATTGAATAAAATTATTCTCCAGCTGAGCGCTATAATTGTAAAGTATTTTCAGCTTCACGATATACATTATAATATATAAATTTATTTTACTCTAACATTTTTCATTATAAATTATTATTATGTTCAACTTTTCAATATCTAATAATTCAAATTTTCCTCATGGTTTAGTCACAATTAAATGCATCATTAAAGAAAATTATACCAATTTTAGCCTTTATAAGCATTCTAATAATTTTCCCGATTGCAACCATTTTCTAATTTAAGAGCAACTAAAACAATTAGACAAAGAGACTATAATACTTATATGAATAAAGTTCCGTTCAATAAATATGTCCCAAAATATTTTTGAAATTCTTAAAGACAAAAATCTAAAACTCAAATTCAAATAACATGAATTATAATAAAATTAATGCCAACAATGGTCAAATATCGCTAATCTTTTGGAAATTTTTCTCTAGCATTATACAAGAACCTCTATTAAATTGCAGATATCAATGTGAATCACCTTCTGTATTAACAGCTTTGATATATCACTTGAAGAAGTTTTTAGTTAGATAATCTAAGTC